TACTCGTAGCAGGTGACTTTAATGCTCAGATAGGTAGCTTAAACCACACAGAAAGACATTTAGGTGGATATTTTAGCATTCCGGCACAGCGAACAGATAATGGTGACCGTCTGCTGCAACTGTGCTCAGACAATCGCTTATTTTTAGCAAACACAAATTTTAAGCATAAGGAGAGACATCGTCTAACATGGCGACCCCCTACACCAAACCAACGATGGACTCAAATAGACCATATTGCCATCAGTCATCGTTGGAGAGGGTCGGTAGAAGATTGTCGCTCATTCTGGAGTACCTGCTTGGACTCCGACCACGCCCTAATACGGGCACGCTTCTGCTTGCGCCTCACCGGACGCAAAAAAGCCACATTGAAAAGACCCATTAGAACTAAGTTGAGTAACGAGAAAACCAAAAATAGGTTCCAAGAACAACTGAGTTCACACTTAGGTAGTTCTGAAGGCGAGGCTGACCCAGATGTTGCTTGGAAAGACATACAAGCAGCTGTGGAAGCAGCAGTGACATCTATTAGCGACTTAGACCACAGAGTTTCAAAGAACCAGTGGATTTCTTCAAAGTCTATCACACTGATGGATTCTCGCAAACTCGTCCCATCAGGTTCCGAACATGATGAAGAGCGACAACAAATCAGATCTAGGTTAAGAAAAAGTTTAAGAAACGACCGTGAGCAGTGGTGGGCAACGAAAGCAAAAGAGATGGAAAAGGCGGCGACTATAGGGAACACAAGACAACTTTACAGACTAATAAAAGAAACTGGAATTAATAAGTCAAGTGTAAGTGAGATTATATCGGAAAAAGACGATACTCTAATCTATTCCCAGTCCAGACGTTTAGAACGATGGGCGGAACACTTTAGGGAACAGTTCAGCTGGCCTTCAGCGACTCTACAACTACCATCCATTCCCAGACAGCGTGAATGGAACATTGAAGTAGGTCCCCCAACTCTTGCTGAAGTTCAAAAGGCTATAGATAATCTGAAACGAGGAAGGGCAGCTGGTCCAGATGGACTGGTTCCAGAAGTCTTTAAGGATGGTGGTCCAATTTTAGCGGTTAGGTTGACTAATATTTTAGCTAAGATCTGGGAGTTAGACGTTATTCCATCTGACTGGTCACAATCACTTATCGTCCCAATATATAAGAAAGGATCAAAATCATCCTGTGACAACCACAGAGGGATTAGTTTAACTAATATAATATCTAAAATACTAGCCTCGATAATTATCAGACGCCTAACTAAGACTCGTGAACTGCAAACACGAGAGAATCAAGCTGGCTTCAGACCTGGTCGTGGCTGCATCGACCACATATTCACCATTCGTCAGGTTCTAGAACATAGGCATACTTATCGGCGTCCGACGATGGTGGTCTTTCTTGACTTAAAAGCAGCATTTGACTCGGTAGACCGCGAGGTTCTGTGGCAGTGTCTGTCATTGAAAGGCGTACCTCAGAAGTACATAAACCTTGTGAAGGCTCTTTACTCGAACACTACTAGTCGAGTGAGAGCTTATGGCGAACTGTCATCTACTTTTGTAACCTCAAGTGGTGTCCGTCAAGGATGTCCACTTTCCCCATTTTTGTTTAACTTCATCATAGACCTACTAATGGAAATAACTTTCTCGTCGACTGAGTTCTCGGGTATTGATCTCCATCCAGGAGGTCCACTTATCGACTTAGAATACGCAGATGACATAGTCCTGTTTGGTGAAGACGCTGACAAAATGCAGAGTCTTCTGGTAGCACTGAGCAACAACGCCAGGATGTTTGGAATGCACTTCTCTCCCTCTAAATGCAAGTTGTTGCTTCAGGACTGGTCTGCGTTAACACCTGAACTAAGGATAGGGAGTGAAGTAGTCGAACGCGTTGACAACTTCACTTATCTTGGAAGTCTGATCAGCCCTAATGGGTTGGTATCGGACGAAATCTCAGCACGGATTCGAAAAGCTCGTTTGGCTTTTGCCAACTTACGTCACCTGTGGCGAAGGCGAGATATCCGTCTATCAATAAAAGGACGAGTATACTGCGCGGCAGTCCGTTCTGTTTTACTTTACGGTAGCGAAACATGGCCATTAAGAGTAGAAGACACTCGCAAGCTGCTAGTATTTGACCACAGATGCCTTAGAAATATTGCTGGCGTCTGCTGGGATAATCGGGTAAGTAATAGTGAGGTTAGACGCAGGGTATTAGGAAATGATGGTAAATCAGTTGATGAGGTTATGAATCTTCATCGACTGAGATGGTTGGGCCACGTGTTACGTATGCCTGAACAGCGATTACCACGACGTGCAATGCTATCCGGTATTGGAAATGGTTGGAAGAAAGTTAGGGGCGGCCAAACCAAAACGTGGCATCAGTGCTTGAAGTCACTAACTTCTAGTCTGAGCCATGTTGGTAGATGCAGACTACTTGGTTGGGGTCCGCGTGACTTGCGTAACCAATGGTTGGAGACTCTTGGTGACATGGCTCAGAATCGATCACAATGGCGTCGGTGTATACACTCCCTGTCTTCCCTTAAACTAAGAGATTAAAATCGCTTCATATCTTTCTTTCTACGAACCAATTCTTTCTTCTTGTACTATATCTCTATATGCAATCTTTCTCTTATATATTACCACCTTTTACCTAACCACTGTTATAAATCCGGTGTTCATCTTGTTGTGCTGATGCGGTATGGCAACCTGGACCGATGCACATATGTGCCTGGTCCTACGTTGTAACTGACTGACTGACTGACTGAACTAACTCATCGATAGCAGTAGTGAGTGAGAATCCTGCCAATATATCACAACTTGTTTGAAGCTGGAAAATGTGGACGACCATTTAATTCATTGTTTATTCTGTGTATGACTACAGTTTGGTGTTATGTGGCTGGAGTCAAATGAGAGTATACCCTAGTTGACCTAGGTATCGTGCTTGTTGGCACTCACCAGTAAGGTGTGCTCTAATCTTGAGATAACGTTATGTTTTTATAGTCTTTAGTGCCCATGGTGTTTGGACATACGAAAATCTTTATTAATCCCTAACTCCTATGCCATAATAAGTCAGCTGAATTCTAAAGATGTGCAATCAAAATTTATCCATAGAAAAACTATCAGAGAATAATTTAAACATCAAGTTGGACACTAAGAAACAAATGAACATTAGAGTATTATTGAATAATGGAAATTCTCGTAGAGATTCAAATTCTTTTGGATTGCTATAATACATTATCAGAAAAATCATAGGGATTATGTGGGAGCCGTAAGGAATTATGCAAAATAAAACGTGTACATCGAGTGTTAGCAGTTATCTACTATGGCAATCAATCAATTGTAGACTTTGGATCAGTCTAAATTGACGTATATCATATAAGCACAATGAGACAAAGAGAGATATACTGAGAACAAGAACCCAGGGCATCAAAGTAATTATATTAATGATAGTGACGAAATAAAAAAGGAGATAGTGAACAATATAATATATAAATTAGTTAAGAGGAAAATATGTGATAATATTAACTATTAATAATTCGAGAAAAACAATAAGTGTGCACTTCTGTGCCAGAGCAGTCAATTTTAATTTATATTACTTGAAGTTTCCAACTAAAGATTACAAATATTTAACGGACATTAAATAAAGATCTTATTAAAGTAGGATAATGGATAGGACCGACTGCCTCGACGTGCGATGTTCAGTGGTATAGGAGTAGGTTGGAAGAAAGCTAGGGGCGGCCAGACCAAAACATGGCACAAGTCCATGAAGTCACTGACAAGTGGACTGAGTCATGTCGGTAGGTGTAGATTACCTGGTTGGGGACCGCGAGATGATAGCAACCCATGGTTAGAGACCCTGAATGACATGGCTCAAAATCGTTTGCAATGGCGCAGGTGCATCCACTCTTTGTGTTCTCCCAAATTTTGATCTCCTTATTCCTCCTTATCTCCTTTTTTTTCTCTTCCCAAATTTATTTCACTGTATTATACTCTTTAAGTAACATCTCCAAACACTAATCTTTCCGATTACTGCTTATACTCTTATTACCTCTACCACTACGGGATTTGAATCGACCACGGCATCTCTGTGCTAATGTGGTGTGGCAACTCGAACTGATGTACGTACGTACGAAGTTCTACGTTGTTACTGACTGACTGATGGATAGGACTGGAGTTCAGCATGTGTGTTTCGTTCTATTTAGGGTACATCAGCTGGATGTATCTATCTCATTCCAATGTTGATAATAAAACTGAAACTTGCACCCCATGCCTTTAAACTCTATAACATTATCCACTGGCCTAGTGAGTCAAGAAGCCCCCAAACCCCCTGGTACAGCCGAGAGTTGGGAGAGTCAGCTCTCCCTCTCCAAATCCTCTCACATGGACACGCGTATATGTATATAGCCTCTGCCAGGGAAGTCCTACTCACTGCCTTCTTGTGGCATTACTGTTGTTTACGAAAAAGGGAGGATGAAAAGCGAATGTCCAGTGCTTTAACCGGATCGGTGGACACGGTGAGTCCGTCTAGAGGAGATGGAAAACATTGATTCCAAACCAATGATGCACATGGGCTCCAGGATCCTGAAGGAAAAAAATGGCGTATGAACCAACTGTTGGTCACCGACTATCATGGGACTGCATCGCCCTACGATGCTCCACTGCCTTGTGGATCAGACCTTCAGGTCGAAGGCTCTAGGTGTGGTACCCCAAGAAAACCACCTGCTTCGGTTCGGGCACCCGGGCAGTATCACAGCCCTTACAAATATCAAATGAGATTGTGTGACGTATATGTATTTGGTGCTTCGTTGTACCAAAATCTATGTGTTAAAATACATAAAATATATATAAATGCAATGTTAAGAATAACAACAATGAAAACAATTTTGAACATTAAACATGATCCTAATATCAATGTCTAATGTAATTAATTAATGAATTTATACTCATTAGAATTGTATAAATTTAGAATAAAAATAGAAAAATATAAAGAAATAAATGATATCAATAAAAACTTACTTATAATATATGTAAAATTTACATGAGTTTTCTTCAATAGCAGAGACTTTTTTAAATAAATCTATATGAGAAGTATCCAACTTATCAACCAATGCCAATATACATTTTGTTTCAACATTTTTATCAACCCAACTCTGTATTTCAAAAACAAAACAAAAATATGAGGGTATTTATTATTAAGAGATGTTGGGGAAAAAAAAGAAGAAGAATATTTACAACTTTAAAAACTAAATAACAAATCAATAAAATCACAGAAGGGTTTTTGAGGATATTATAGTAATTTAATAGTTGAATTCATGAGTCAAGTGAAGCTAGATTGCCATGTAAAACCTGAAAGCACTGGACGACTTTTTCGTCCTAGTATGGGACTTTTCAGAAGTGGGCATCCACGATCCCGCCTCGCGAGATTCGAACCCAGGATCTATCGGTCTCGCGTGCGAGTGCTTAACCACTATCCAACTGGGCCGGTATCCAACTGATAGGTCATGGGTTCGATTCTCGGGAGGCGGAATTGTGAATTCACACTGCTGAGAAGCCCTATACTACGACGAAAAGGCCGCCCAGTGCTTCCAGGTTTGCAATGGTGGTCTAGCTTCAATCGACTCATGAATTCAGCTATTAAATCAAATATAAATCAGTAAATATATATATATATATATACCAAAATTTTCATTATATTTCTTTACGTGGAATTTTCTCTCTCTTTCAATTCACATAAAACCTAATACAATTAAGTAGTGTGTGGTACAGAAAAGAAAATTGTACATAAGCTGGGATACTGTCTGAGTGTTCAAACTGAAGTAGATGGGTTTTTTAGGCGGACATTCACTGAGTCTTTAACTTAAACGTCTAATCCACAAGGCAGTAGAAAGACTTCAGGAGATGAAGTCTCATGCTAGTCGATGACCAAAATTTATGACTATGTGATGTCATTTGAAAAGACTATCATAAATACTCGGTGCTCCCAGGATATACGACCAATGTTTCGAACACACTTATAATCGAATACTAGTAACCTACAAATATCCTCTACTCTTACCGGCCATGTTTCACTGCCATAAATTAGGATGGAACAAACTGATGCGCAGTAAACCCGTTCTTTGGTCGATAGACGGATATCTCACCTACGCCATAAATAATGCAAGTTGGTAAAAGCTAGTCGAACCATCTGTATCCATGATGAGATTTCGTCACACACCAAACCACAAGGGCTGACGAGACTTCCAAGATAAGTGAAGCTGTCGACCTGCTCAACTACTTCACTCCCTACCATTAGTTCGTGTGTCGATGCAACCTAACCCTGAAGCAACATCTTGCATTTCAAGGGGGGAGAATCGCATCGTGACCATGCTTGCATTGTTGTTTAGAGTGATCAGAAGACTGCATTTTGTCAGCGTCTTCACCAAATAGAACTATGTCATTGGCTATTATAAGTCAACAAGTGGATCTCGTGGTAGAAGTTCAACTCCTAGAAATTTAGATGAGGAATGTGTTAAACCTAAAAGCATGTCAACAACAAAGTTAAACAAGAATGGAGAGAGTAAACAGCCCTGACGAAAACCATTTGAAGTAATCAATTCTGATGATAGTTCGCCATAAGCTCTCACTCGGCCAGTTATGTCCGAGTAGAAAGCCTGTATAAGGTTAATGTACTTCTTTGGTACTCCTTTCAGTGACAAACACTGCCATAGAACATCACGATCAACAGAGTCAAATGCCGCCTTAAGGTCGAGAAATACTACTATTGTGGGACGTCTGAATGTGTGTCTATGTTTTACAACTTAGTGTGAATATCTGGTCTATACAGCCACGTCCGGGTCGGAAACCAACCTGGTTATCTCTAGTCTGCTCTTTACGAGCTTTAGTGAGGAGTCGAAGTATTATTGAAGCTAATATTTTAGACACTATATTAGTTAAACTGATTGCTCTGTGATCGTCACAAGAGAACTTTTGTCCTTTCTAATAGGTTGGCACAGTGATTGAGACCAGTCACATGGGATTACGTCCAGTTCTCAGATTCTAGCTAAGACCTCAGTCAATTTCACTGTTAATGCTGGACCACCAAAGTCGAAAACATGACTGGTTGGTTGGAGTGAAGTTCAAATCAAAACTGTTTATAGAATCGAACGTCGCACATGACTAGCGCTTTTATGATTATTCGTTATTATTTTTACTAAGAAAATGTAGGATAAGATAATATATTTTGAGATTATCGCTGGTATTGAGTTGTTTGATTACAGATGGATTAGAGCTTATGAAAATCTCTAAAAATTTATCAACATTAACAGCGATTGATATTATTTTGATAATTCAATAGGTTTAAATACAAGATTCTCAATTAATACATAGACAAGAAATCTTAATTCAGTACATATAAATCCAGATAGCTCAAAACTACGTTGAATCACTTAATATTTATTTTAATCCAATGCATAAATCACAAAGTCATGCCTGATCACTGAATTATGGTAACAGATTTCAGTCAAAATATAACTCATATAATCAGATATGAATTAATAATTTTACTCGGGTACTCAAGTCAAATTATCTGAATTAAGGTTTACACATGTAACTCAGTGGTTAGAAGTAGTTTAATCACTATGTAATGACAAAATAATAATGATAATAGTAAATAATAGTGATAGTGATAATAATATAAAACATTTATCAATCACATGTATATATACTTATCTATTGGCTACAATTTGTGTAAGGAGTATATATACAAACAGGCTGCTGAAACCTAAGTACAAATAGTTGAATTCGAGTCTGTAATCTAAGGATCGAAAATTGAGTTTTTTAACATCACGGGTTAATTTAACCACTAAGCGACTGGCTTATACTTCAATTTACACCACAACTCAAGACTTTAGTATTAAAAGTTCAGTAAGACGCTGAATATTACAGTAGAAATTATTATGTAACTCGAAAAGAACAAAATTTATAGTATTAATACTTACATCCAAAATTTTTCCCGGTTTATCCCGATGACCATCGATAATTTCAACTGGAAACTTTAGGTTATCTTCAACGAATTTAACAAATGCCTCCACACTTCTTTCATTACGATATTCACTTTTTAGCATTTTACCATATTTTGTAATTTTAATTGTAGGATATTTACGGATATAATATTTGGCGCATAGATTTTCTAAGCGTTTCGAGGAGAGGGGAAGTTAAGAAGAAACCATCAGTGTAAAGTATGATATTCATATGTAAACACGAATTAGAAAAGAACAACGGCAAAGCACGAAACAATCAGCAAGTACAGTATTACTTTTGAAAAACGATGAGCAACATGTGGCTCAAACACTTTTGTCATTGTAAACGTTGTCACAGAACATGCTATACTCAATAAAAATTGTCAATTTTAAGATGAAAACTAATGGTAAGTAACTAGTCGAGTGAATAGAATAAACCAACGGATCTAGTTTACACGATATATTTTACTTGGTTAGGTAAAGCAGTAAACAACTATTGCTGCTAATTACATATTTAAAAGTGACAGAATAAAATTCAGAATTAAAAAGCCAATTAAACTAGGTAAGTGTCAATTACTAAGTTTATGGCTAATGAGCTATGAAGCTTAAGGTTAAAAAGTACTTGAGGTTAAACCAGAGGGTTCCAGGTTCAAGATCTATTCTATCTACTGTTTGAAGGTTGGTTAATATTGTCAGTGTTAATTATTTCGTTGACCGTTGCCAAGGATTGATGTGAATGTTATTGATCAGTAGGATTCCTTTCTCAGTATATAACACTGAAGTGGGTAGTGATTTGTGTAACATCCCAACCACCTTAGCCGATAAACATCTATGAATCTACCTTGTTTATCAAGTATTCTACACTTAACATTAGGTTTATACACTCAGTGGTTTTTCAAACAAGTCTATGATTCGATCAGCATAGCCTGCAGATGTCTTTTTTACGTCTAAAAGTTTTCACAACAAAGTAATTAAATGTTTCGTATAGACACACTTAAGCAGGCAGTCATTTACCTCTCTGACATCTAAATGTGCAAAGGTAAAGATACTCAGTGAAAATAAAGTGATTAAGAAAGGTAAATTGTGCAACTTACGACTTTTTTTACAGTCTATTGAGATAAAAGCAAATTTACGACTCTAAATAATAGAAGAGAAGTCTATCAAACTTTATGAAAAAACTACTTTTGTCAATTCAGTAACCTTCTCCGAGGCTTGTTCATAGATTGGCGCTAACAATTGGCTATAATAACACCAATCTTCTGAGAATTTCAGTAATGCTACATCATATTCAGCTGACGTGAGACAAAACGAGAGTGAGTTAATTGAAAACGACAAGGACTTACATATTAATGAGTCAAAGTTAGCATCATTTGCAACCAAAACAACTGATGCACAGTAATTAGGTGCATTCTGGACGAAATTGTAAACAGAAAATAAATCAAAAGATGAGAGGTTGTCATTAATAAAAAATAAATGTGATTAGGTGTATTGCCCTTATCTCTCTTATGTAGCTTATCAATCAAGTACAGGTTAATGTACTCAACTTTGAACCGCTTGTATGAATAGGTGATACTACTCCGATGGCCAAACCAGTGTTAGTAGAGGGAACTTTGAGTATGCAACCAACTGGTCAAGAAACGATAAAGTACGGTAAGTGAATTAAAATTTTAATAAAGGTTAATTCCTAAATGAGGAAGCTTAGTTACATGCTTTCATACTTAGAGTAATATTCAAACACTTTAGACGCATAACTTGGGCTGCAAATTTTATATCAGCAATACGTACAAGGCTGCTGCCTAATTTGACGTGGAACGTTTACCGGTGTTGTAGTATTTTCAAAAATCCTAGGGGTCACCAGGATAAAGTATGGTAATACTGCATGAAGTTGTTAATTGCTGAACTATCTGGAGCTTGGGAATATCAAACTAAGGGAATCCATTATAGTTATATTTCTTGACCTTTGACCAGCGTTTATGTGGCAGTTTTTTCCATTAAAAGGTCTAAAATACGAGTACATAAACCTTGTGAGTGCTCTTTACTCAGACACTATGGATAAAATTAAAGCTTATGATGGAATGCCATCAGAACTGCCAACCTCAAGTGGTTTGTCAAGGTTCTCTACCATCCCACTTTACTTAGTTTTGCCATCGATGTCCTTCAAGGAATCACACTTTTTTCATCCAACTTTTTAGTGATTGAACTCCTAACAGAAGGTTTTTTATCAATATAGGATATGCAGATTACATAATTTTATTTGGAGATATCGAAATAATACAGTTTTCTGGTCGCCTTGTTAATAATACAAACAAATGTGAGATGCATTCCTCTTATTCTTAACCTAAAATTTTGTTTTAGAATTGATCGGGATCATTTCCTAAATTGATGATATGGAGTGAAGTGGTTGAGTGTTGAATACTTCACTTATCTTGGACGTTTCATCAGCCCTGATGGATTAATGCATGACGAAATCTCGGTACGAATTTAGAAAGCTCATTAAACTTTAGCTAGCACGTTTAACATGTGGTGTAGGTGAATGATTATCTGTTAACCAGAGAAATACAATACTGTGCAGCAGGTAAACATTAACAAGATTGAGCTTTAGTGATTCCACAGATGATCTTGACAAATCCCTGACCGCATTTAGTAAATTGGAAAACAACAAATATGAGTGATTAGACATAAACCTAAACCCGAATTTGGCAATAGGATCCAAATTTAGGTTTTATTGTTAGAACATGACATTCGGATGTTTTACGGTTGGCCTATATGGTACTTTAATCCCAGATCAAGAACTTTAGTCTCAAGTCATAAATCCTGATCCTAGCTATAAAGTTAAGTGTTTAACACATTTTTGTCAGTAGGACTAATTATTCGCGTTCGATAGACAATTCGTCTCAATATATGTGTTGTGACAGTAGTGTCGTTCTTTTACTAATTGTAAAGCACTGTTTGTATTCTTGAGGATGGAAACTTTCACTAATTGAGACATCATCATTATCTAAATCACTGGTGAAGAATTTTTTCCAGGTTATAAGTTGTTTATGAGTGACTGAAAAACTTAAAACTTAAGTGTATAACATTGTGGTCATTAAGTGAACAAGATTGTCTTAAAGGTAATGAACAGCAGGAACTCAAACCTTGAACGGGTGTTTTTATCTGCATACACTCAGTCTATAAGTCTAAAATATTCAGAGACCTCTGAAGACAAAGTAAACAGAGTGCGAAGAAACCGCACCTGCTTCTATTTTTATTTCACCTCCCTATGTCTAAACATAAAAGTACTAAAAATAAACTCACTTAATGTATTAAAGATACGTTTGAATCGGCTATCCTCATCTTATGTAAAGTTGGCACAAACACTACCGCCAGATAATCATGCAAACTACCGAAAGCATAAGTGGATGCAACAAAAAGGATATATGCCATGTTTTTCCATGTGATTTTATTGACCTCGATGTTAAATCATTGTCATTTTCCATCACTTCGAACTGTGGTGCATACCCAGGCAGTGATATACATAGGACTTTGACCGATGTAGATAGACTTAAAGGAAGACAGGTGTCGTCCCCATATTCATAGAAACCAGACTATCAAGTTAAACGATTAAGGCAAAACTATAATTTATGGACGAACCAATCAAATGTAAGATAACGAGTCACGAATCTGGGCGCATAATTCATCCATACATTTGGCTAAACAGAGTTTTGGCCTTATAGCTTATGTTAGTTTGTGATGAAAGCCCGGAAATCTAATTTTTAACCCTAATCATCAACTGTAAATGAGGATTATAACTGCTTCACAACCCTCATTTAGTCCTAATTAGTAGTTGTTTACTCTCAAGGTCACTTCAGCGTCGCTCAAAAGTCGTCCATAAATTATAGTCTCACCACAAAAGTCTATAGACAGTAAACATCAATTTCCGAACGCTCAACATCTTCCTACTTGTTATAAATTGTTTAAACAGAGTTACTATACATTCCAATCAACTAATAAAAGGGAAATGAATGCGAACAAATAAGAAAATAAGTTGTAAAAATAAACGAGAAATAATGGCTTGGACATAGATATAATGCATTTCTTTGCACGTTTTGTACTAAAAAATGTTACTAGTACATAACACATATATAAACGACTCTATTTGCCAAATCAAACTCTAAAACACATACCGTAAGCAGGATAACAGGTAATACGTACCACCACCAAAACATCCACAAGCCAGTAAGTTTTCGAAACTGCGTACCGGTTGACGAATATGACTTCAGTTGATTCAAACAAACCTCGATAATCCATCCACGGTTTGATCTTTATTGTCCGGTTTCATGTGAAGTAGCTGATCTATGCTACCTTGCACATTTTTTCATTTAATTACAGTCAACAATCATCCTTAGGAGGCAATACCAATTCTAATATCAGGTATCGTAGTTGATTTTAATATCTCATCTTTTATTTTTGAAAAGACCTAAAACAAAGATTCAAGCAGAATAGATTGAATTCATTTTACTTTTCTTGGTGTTTTACAAATGCTTACAGACTATGATATTTGAAAAATAATTAGGAAATGGATTTAAATGAAAGAGTTCGGTCAGAAGTTATGCAGAAGACACAGTATAGTGTAGCAAGGGTGTAAATTTAACGGAATTAATATTGTAAATATAAACCTTATGGAAAATAAAATTCTACAACGGTGATTTTGACAACAGTTCAAACCTCCAGAAACAATGATTACATAATGAGTAAACGTTAGTGGGAATAAAATGAGTAAGGCTCAGTTAGTAAAATAACATTACCAATCTAAAAAACAGTCAAAATAGAAAACTCAGTTACGTAAAAACGGCAATAAAGAGTTTAAAAAGTGTTTCAAGATGCACCAAAAAAATATTTGTCACCAAGACTAGGAAAGATTGATAACCATCTTCTTTTTGAACACATAAATCAGGTTTTTGACGCCTGATAGCAATGGGATCAGAAGTATTCAGAAGTCTGGAGTTTGGCTGTTTGGTAATCGACCTGATTTCCTTTAGGCGAGAGATTTTTGGTAACTGTACTGTTTGAAGTTGTTCTTACTCTTGTTCTAAAGCTTTTTGGAATATACTCAAAAAATATAAAATACGCCCTCCTCTCTGTCGGGCCAATGTAGCTGTTTTGGCAGGTACATATAATTTATAGGCACAGTTGGCGATTATATGAGGAGGATGCTCCTCAACCTTAGATCGGGTTGTTGAGCATGTTGTTTTAAACAGAATTAATGTTTTGGCTGCCGGTTAAGTTCTGGAAATAGCACTGTTAAGCCTCGTGCTGATTGTGCTTGCAACGTCATCTCCTTTGAAGTTTAGATTTATAGATATAGTCACTTCCGCCTTGTTTTCTTTAGATTTTTTCATAATTTTCAATAAATTTCTGTGGGCGGTAGTTATCTCTTAGATATTTTTCAACATTTATAAGTTCTTCATGTTCATCGGTGGTACATATACTTCCAAACCATAAAATAGTGTTTTAACCGGCTGCAATTAAACGCAACTCAATTTCGTAAATGTGCCCTTCAGCTTAGCAACCAGTCAGAATGAGGCGGGAATTATTATGTCCGCCGTCTTTGTAAGCGATGGCGGTCGGCTTTCTTTGTTCTGTGGTTTTTTCAGCTATTTCTTTTGTGTAGCTACAGAATTTAATGTTTCAGTGTGCTAAAATGCAGAGGTTAATGTAATACTCTGAATGATTGAGCAAACGTTTTCTTCATTTTGCTCTGTTTTCTGGGTTTTGGCTGCTGCTACTGAAGTCAATGTATTTCTTCAGCCAAGCTGGCTAGTCTTATCGGTTTTGTTTTGACTTGTTTTCTAGATATCCAAAGCCGAAGATCGTTGCCGCCGCCTGTGACTAACTAACGCAAGTTCGTTCCTAACTGTCCTTTATGCTGTTATCAACAAAATGAAAGGAAAAAATCTCCAGTTTTCAATTTCCTTCAGTACAATGGACAACATTATCCCAGCGAGTCAAACTTGTACAGAGTGCACAGCAGTAGGGGATACCAGTATTGTTTTCGAAAGAACTCAGACTTCCGATAACCATAGATGAAGTCACAGATGTTACCAATCTATTGCAGAGGGTTTGTTATGAAAAATATGCCATATAACAGTATTAGAAGGGTTTTACTCATTACGTTGTGCGTTAAAGCAAGCTTAACAGTGAAAAGCCGGAAACCTGCTATCAGTGTGTAGTGTATGTTTGCTGTTTCGATCATAATAGGAAGCCGAAGGGTCATAATCAGGGAGTAAAAAGGTAATTAACTGTTCTTAAGCTCACTTTCTTATAGATCATATTTCATCACTCGCAAATCTGTGTTTTTTTACGGTATGACTTCAGCCGGTACCTAATATGTTCACCCTTACGATGAAAAGTACCTGCAAAATTTGGGCTTCATATTCGAATTATTTTTGGAGAACTGTCTTCTTGTTTGAGTGCTTCATATGCCCTAGGGGACTAGATTCCTACATTATTCGTAGTTCCAGTATAACGTTTTCACACAGTAAGTTCAAAGTAGACACTAGTCTTTTTAAATAAGCCTGTTAAGCTAATATCTGTATTCTCTATTTCAGTTAATCGATGAAGACGTGTGCCACGTGCATCTGCTGTGTACTACCATTTTACTCCAATTCTGTTATATCTTACTTCTGAAAAATAAAATTGCTATATGCAGCAAATACAGACTTTTTTGATGGAGATAGGGGTTCATGGGATCTTTAGCAGGACTGTAGTAATATTCTCACTAAAGAGCTAAGCGAGTGCGTAGTACAATGTAAGGTACCATATAGGGTGCCTTTGAGTTACTAGTGTTCCATTGGTGCGGGTAGGTGCATTGATTATTTATCATATGGCATTTGAATAAGGAGCTATAGGTTGTGTAACGCCTGTTCATCCATCAGCTGCCGTGACAACTCATGGTGGGTAGATTAAGTTGTGAGAGGACACGAGTCTGTAGGTTTCCCAGGAAAATGACAAACATATGTACCAAGTCACCTTATGAAGAGCGCCTCAAATCACTTAACCTTAACCCATTAGAGTATAGACGCCTCAGAGGTGACCTAATGGCTTACAGTATCTTTAACACTTCTGGACATTCTCTCAAACACCTACTTGAACTTAGTTCCAACACTAACCTAAGGGGTAACACCCAGAAACTGGAGACATCATAGAAGAACGTAGTGTAGACACAACTTCTACTCCTTAGGAGTTGTCAAATGCTGAAATTCGCTGCCCGCCGAGCTAGTCCAAGCGACTTCCTAGGAGTCCTTTAAGAGGCAACTGGATCTATTCTTAAAGATAATATCATGCTATGATTAACCAATTTCTTTTTCCTATTTTATTGTTAACATACCTAACTTCCTCCCTGGAGGTTTTGGTGATCCCCTGCTTTTAGACACGGAAGCCTGAACACATGAATTAGGTGCTAAGAGGCTCGTATATCACAAGTTTCTTGCAACGATTAAGTAGATAAAGAAAGTAGCATTAGATTCAAAAATTTATTCGAGAAATTTCATTAAAAATCGAATATCAAACAAGGGTTTAAACCATGTTCCCGTTTAAAAGCTGCAGTTTTTGTTGTTTTTTTCCAAACGAAAGGGTAAAAGAAGTAACTCAAAAAGTACTGAAAGTGGTTGCGAGACCAAAACGGACGTTCAGCATCCGTATTATAATCTACTGTTAGTTGGGTCTCCCGTAAACATTTTCATAGGGCCATAGTTCTAAGGGCGAAACGGTTCTTAAACTCTATGAAGGCTCACTCCTGGTGCATTTTAAATGAGAAAATAGTAATGAATTTAGTCAGAAATGTGGAATACAAAAATAACCAAATTACATTTTTTTAGCAAAGAATTTATGCAGTTCATGAATATTAGATCAGGTCAGCTATTACTTGTGCAAAGCATAACATAGACTTAATACCGTATCTCAATTCTTTTATTATTTAGCTCTCATTTAAGTATTACCATGCATCTGCGTCTAGTTTAACAGGGAGACATACAAACAGAGTTAGTGTCTGATAAACTAAAAATCCTAGTTGTCAGAAAGATGCTTAACATTTGTCTACAGCCAGCTGCATTTAATTGAGACACAGAACACTCATCTTCTAAGACTGTATACTGCTCTTCTCCAGGCAACTAAAAGATCAGACGCTTAGCTATCTTGCTACCGATGTTATTGCTGGGGAAATTGTTAATGACAGTGATCTTGAAATATGGTCAGTGATACATGTACAGTCTAGAAATAAACACCAAACATACTTAAAGCTATCTTATAATATATGACAGCAATAGCATCAAAGGCAGGTTTTTTTTTCCATTTTTAATCAGACTGTGTTGAATCAGTATACTTACTAAAAACAGGCAGCTCTACTTACTAAGCTGATCTGTTTCGTCACAGGCTTTAAGCACTATACTTAAGTATACCATAATTCTTTCAACTGAACTGAATTATACGACAACCATGAATATTAAACTAAGCAAGTGTCATAGTTATTGTTTCATTTGCACATACATGTTGCTTAAAGTAGTTAAATGAACATAATTAAGACGAAAAAACCAAAACACGAAATATAGGCCAGTTGAACTTACCGAACAGAAGATAAAGGAAATATATTGCTTTGATACTGAAGACAACAGGCAGTTGTTCATAAAAACATAGTTTACAGTACAAACCTTTCTTCAGTAACATCATGCACTGACGGTCTATCTGGAAACAATAAATTATGTGATTGAACTCACTATGACTTGAGATATCATCACAGCGTGCAATGGACGTGCAGTCTAACGCAGTCAGACGTGGCGAATAAAAACTAAAAAAGAGCAAAATTAGCTACATAACCTAGTTATTTAATTAAAAATACATTATGAAATGACAAAATCTGTGGTTACTTGAACGCACAGATGACGTTGGGCGATACACTAAATTTACATGGTTGCGTTGCGGATAAGTTCACTTGTTTTAACCAGTGCTTTCTCATAACTCATTGGACAAAAGCTGTTAAGAGTCAGGTAAATGCCATCCCAAGTACTTTTTAGATAAACCGAACGTTGAATCCTCGCATCTTCCCTGTGTTTTATGGCCACATCATGAAAGTGGAGCTTTTACTTCTGTTAGTGTTCCATAGTAAATTTTAAGTTAGGATGAGCATTATTTAAGAGTTCTAACATGTTGATTGCATGTTTTGTGCTGTTGAAGACAATAATCGTGTCATCAGCATATCTGGAGTATCCAGTCGTTTC